ATGTAAAAGTTGTTACAATATATAATATTATTGTTTTAAACAGTACATCCTGAACACATTTAAGAGGATGCCACACCCACATGTGTTGTTTTTATCTTACAAAAGTACAATATAGCAAGTAAGTGCTCAACAATTCCAATTTAGATAATTTAGAGTAATAACCTTAAGGCTTTAACAATAGAGTAAATCAATCTTATATCAAACTTAAAGCCTAGAGGTAAGTAATTTATTGTTTATGCCTGAGATTTTTACAATATTTTAGTTTTTAAGCAACTCATTAGAATTATTGAAATATAATATTTTCTATACACATAACTTACTTAAAAAATTAAAATATCGTAAAACACCTAAATTATACAACACAGATTATGTTTTTATTTATCTTAAAGTTTGAGAATTAATTTTATTGTTAAAGCTGATAACTATACATTAGATTGAAATCGCATACATTTGTCAAGTTGTACGTTTGAAATATAGAGACAACGCACGCGGGTGTGGCAGCATCCCCTGAAACACGATGAGTGTTTGTGCGTGTAGGTAAGGCTTTATTGTCATTCGAAAAATTTCAAGGTAATGAATAATGACTTTTAGTCAGCGCTCGTTTTGTAGGAATTCTGAAGGGTTACACACTTATACAGTTATACCTCTATGTGTCGTCTAGAAACGAGGATGAGACCGGGACATTGAAAAAAAGTTTTATAAATCTTGGAATGCAAGTAAGCGGGCACAAAGTAAGATATTTTTTAGGTTACTATCGAACTTGGGTGTCGTCCCCAAACGACGACGAGACTACGAAACAAACAGTAATTATAACATTTGGTAATCATAACAGTAATTATAACATTGCGAAAGAGCAAATGGGAGTGCTGCTGTGCACGGGAGACTTGTGGAAATCACAGGCCAATTATTATGGTTGGGGCGGCAGAGCGTTCGATTGCGCACATTATTATTGTCGTCGTCATTGTTGTTGTTTACAACTACCTACTGTTGTCGTGGGTTGTAATGACGTGGGCGATTCGGAATCTACGCGGAAAAATAAAATAAAAACATTGCGCTCCCTGTATAATGACGGAAAACCGTGGTGGTCGGTCCGAAGCACGTGTATTTTTTATAATAATAATACGCTACGTTTATCTCAATTTTTACTGGCTGCGGTAGACGTGAAAATATTATCAACCGTTTTCGTCATTTGCCGGTCAACCCGTGCTCGAATTAGTAAATCAAAAGAATAGGAACTCAAAATAGAAATAAAAAAAAAAAAACAGCGTTTCAACTGACCATTAATCTGACTGATCATCATATTTTTAATAAAATAAATCCTAATGTACATTATTTTTGACCCAGTGTTAATGTGTTTACACTTTTAATCACTTCAAACTTTTGATTTTTTTTCCTAGTTGTAATCAATAAATAATAAAAAAAAAAAACATTATTGGAAGAAAATTCAAATAAAACGTATAGGTAGTACAAAATACAAAAAAAAGAAAATTTCGTTGTCACTCATACACTTTATAGGTATTGCCCGATTGCGTACCCGTGTCCCGTGCGTTATTTTAGGAAAACGTATCATGGGAACGCTAATTATATTATTAATATCAAAAGTTAGTTTAGGAGCCGAGTTCCCGTGCGTTCCTTCTCAATTCGAACACTGCGGGAATATTATCATAATGTATGTTTTGTCTCCGTGCTCTATCGAACAACGGCGGCGTACGACGAGTGGATCGCTCTGTACAAACGAGTCGCGAACGCGCTACGTATATTGCACGCGCAACGCATAAAAGAATGTTACGCCTTCTCACCGCCGCCGCTGCGGCATCGTCGTAGTCTACACGAAAAACGGTCCTTTCCCGCGGTATGAAGGAACGCGCGCGGCGGGGCGGAGGACACGGTATGACGGCGAGGAATGCGACCTCGCCGGCGCGGCGCGTGAGACCGGCCGTCGGTTCGCCGCCGCCGTAGCGCCGCGCGACGGCCTCCACACCGCCACCGCTGACGCCGCCGTCGTCCTCCTCCTGCTCCTGCTCCTCCACCGCACCACTTAGTCATCATCGTCATCCTTTACTGCGGCGTACATTAAACTGAACGCGCGTCCGAGTCTCGGTCGTGTTTCAAGTGTGCCGACCGTTTCTCACGCGGATCCTCTACCTACTCTTTCACGACGACAAGTGCAACGAGAGAGAGAGAGATGGTGAGAGAGCGAAAGAGACACGTATACACACACACGTACACACACCCGCGAGCACAATCCGCCGTCCGAAATCTCCGTTTCGGTAATAATGACGATATTGCGATCCACGAAAGATTTATCAATTTCTGCAGTGGCGGGGACTTGGCGGGAGTCCCGGGTGGATGTACCGTGTCCAGCTCTTTGTTTTTGTTGCTCCTCGTTTTGTTTTTCGCACACGGATTGGTACCTACCACACCCACCCGGTGCTTTGGTTTTACGCGTTACATTACATTGTTCGGATATCCGACAATGATAACGGTGTACGCGCATATAAATAAGTAATAACATAGGTGCCAATTTGGCGTCTCTGAAAAATGTTTTCGAGTTGAAAATGATTATTGACCCGCGAACAAACAAGCGGTAAACATCGCTTCTGCGACGAACGGTAGCGATTGATATAACACAATATGATATAATAGTAGGGAATTACGAATTCGTTGCACTCGTATGGACTTTTATTTGCCGTGTGTTGTTTTATTTTTTAAAGTAGTCGTACACAGTGTTTGTGACCGGTACACCATTTGAGAATCGAATCCCCTCTGTATGCAGAGGCACAACATTACGACAAAACATTACGAGCGCAGTAAACCAGCGCGAATGCGGAAACTTGAGATATGGAAGGGAAATTATATTGCGCAAATTTTATGGATTTATTTTATTGTAGTTTTACGATACGAGGCGCGAGGGGTGCACGAATGATTTTGTTTTCCTTGTACATAATACAAGAAATCCGAAACCAACTCATCCGCTCTACTTAGGTCTTAGGTGATGGTCATATACTTTTCTTTTTATAGTGTCCTTAAAAATGTAACGCATAAAGATGATTATCGCCGTCTCGATTTAATGAATTTTAGTCATTTTAGACCAGTATTGAAGGTCTGGATATAAAATAGGTAACACAATACAAGACGACATGAGATACCTACCTTACATCGTGTTGATATTTTAAAACCTTTCTACTGATGACGTTGTGGAGTATTAACACGAAAACGCTATTTTTATGATTCTTTAAGTTCTTGATTACAATTTACACTTCAAAGTGTAAATATTAATACCTATTACATTGTGTTCTTCGATTACACAGATTTTGCTACCGAAAAAAAATTTAAAAGTTTTAATAATTTGTAATAACTTTATAAGCATTTAGCATATGTATATAATTATTACGTAAGAATTTAAAATATCCTGAAAGTATGGTATAAATCAAATGGTGCAAGTTTGGAGAAAGAATAGATATGTTTTTTATTTAAACTTTGATGCCAGATCTTGTACACGAGTATTTTTTATAAAGTAAAATAGCATTCAAAACGTCTAAAAATGTTACTTAGGTACTTCCCTAATCATGTATAAATGTTAAAATTTGAAAAACTTTTTAACAATTTAAACTGTTATTTTTTTAATAAATTGTACGATAGAAGTGGATAATTAATAATAAAAATAACCCCTGTAGATTTGGGTCTTATGATATTTATGGCAAGATCATTTGAATTTATAACTAATAATACACCTATTGGTATTTGGCAAATTGTGTAGGTAAGTATATTCAACTAAAATGTTTCAGTGTTTTTATCACAGTCTTGGAAGATATACTTAATCTATGATCCATAAAATAAAATCTATTTTATTATTACAAAACAAATTTTAGTGATGTAAGAAATTTTAGGTTAGTTTAGGTTTTTATCAAATAACTTATTCAATAATAATCAATACAATAATTTTCATCTAATAATAAAATTGTTAAAAAGGATTTTTATGATTTTTCAAGAATAATAGTATTGCTAAAAATACTAATCATTAATTTACAGATTTTCTCAAAAACTAAAGAATATTGATTTAAACAAATAAAAACCTATATTGTATTCATGACAAATGAAATAATTGCTTTTTAAGTCTAATTTATAATTTGAATATCAAGTGACTAACAAATTAAATTTGACAAATATATATGTTATAGTACTGGCTTGTTTTTGTTTGGAGAGACTAATCTCTTATTAAAACAAAATGTTAACTGCCTAAGAACTAAGAAGTTATCTTGTTGATATTAATTCAGTCAGTTGATTTATTCTTCGAATTTATTCAATAGTTTCAATTGGAAAATTAAAAAAAAATTAAAGAAATAACGATAAGAACTTTTAAACAATTAAAAAAACGGTAAATAGTAAATACCATATTAAATATTACATCATATCATAAACAATAACATTAATTTTATTAGGCTTTAATGACTTAATTACACTATGTATCACTATTCACCACGATGAAATAATTTCTACTATCACGAAATTGACATTTATTTAATTATATACTACTCATATTTATATTATACTAATTGTACCTAATTATAACAATTTTTATCTTTATATCTGTTTAACATTGACTGTAATTTAGTTATCAATTTTTTTTAATAAATTGCATTTAAAATGTAAACTACATACCAATTTATCATACATATTATATATAATATATAAATAAGGGTCTACATTTAAAATTTAGCACAAACTAAAAAGTGGAATAAACAGAAATATTTTAAATTTAATTTTGTTTTAAAAAAAAATAAATTAGGATGTATACTATAAAATAAATAACACACCTAAATTGAAATATTACAATTAAAAAAAAAAAAAAAATTATTTATTAATTTTAACTTAAACTATAGCAAAATTAACAGCTATATTACATATTAAAATATGTGAAATTTCCACCTAATTAAAAATTTTTTTTTTTTTAGGGGTGATTAACATTCAATATAATATTATACAGATAGAACAGGCAATTTATACATTAAACTTGTTTCATATTTATATGCATAAAAATGTGAATTAAGTGTAAAGTAAAAATTTGTAAATATGTTGTCAATTGTTAAGAAAGATATGTGCGAACAGTAGCCTTGATGGTCTGTCGACATAATGGGCAATCTGATAGACTAGAGGCACAAGTGATGCACGCAACTAAATGGGCACAAGGTAACATAACAACACCCAATTCTTGATCTACACAAATTTTACAAAGCCGAGCTTCCTTCAATCGACGGTTTTCTTCTTCTAAATCTAAATTAAAATAATACATATTATAAATCATAGTCATAAATGTGAAAATTTTAATATGTTAAATTTAACTAACTTAAAAGATTTGACTATAACATAGGAAATTCAAAGAGCCTTAACAAAGACATTTGTGAGCCATTGTTAAATTATAAAGTTAAATTGAAATTGGCTAAATTAGCTATCACATTTAACACATTTGCCACATCACTAACAAAAATGTAATTTTTGATACAGGTTGAAATGGTGGAAAATTATCTCTTTATATCCAGTAAATAATAAATTTTTTTTTTATTTAAAGGAAACAATTTTAATTTTAAAAACATTTTCTGTTTGAAATTAAAAAAAATATATTATCAAGTCAACATTTATAAATTATTGACTAATTTTGGAAAAAGAAATGGTACTTAGGTAATAATTAAAATAATTTTTATGAAAAAGAATTTTGCTTTTATTATTATAACAAAACTAAAAACTTGAAAGTTTTAAATTTTATTAAGTTTCAATTGCACAGATGAGACTTACAAGGTTTTGGAGTTCCTTCTAATGTTATAAATAATATTTGATAAATCAAGTTTTTGATTTTTTTTTTTAGTTAAATTCATAAAAATATGTACATAGTAAAAATTGTATAGGTATACGCTAGGTTAATGTGTTTAAGTCTATTTTTTTGAAATATTTCAAAATGTAATACAAACAAAATATATGCATTTCGTTAATGATTATGAATGTTATAACAGTAATAATTTTCATCACAATTCATTGCGACTTACACAATGTATTTAATTAAGAAAAAAAAATATTAAATTTTAATGTTTGTTAAAAACTTATTAATGACCATATGATAGTTACAACAGTTGGTCTCTTATTTTTTAAATGTGAAAATGTTAAACCTATCAATTACATAGTGATAAAGGACCTTATAATACAAAAAAAGTGAAGTTATAAAATAACAAATTATTTAGTCAGTTCATTTATCCATATTTTGTTTAAGTGATACCAAAGAGTAAAAAAAAAAATTAGCAGATTATTATAATATTATTATAATCAACAGACTATTCAAATCAATAGAATTGAAAGATAATATATGATAACAATGCCACTAGAGGTGAGAACATATGAACTATTAATAACTTTGCCTAATTTTTATTCATATTATAAATTGGTGTGATTAATAAGTATTTGAATAATCAAAAAGTTTGTTAATAAAAACATGGTAAGTAAAATTATTTGTTTTTAAATACTGCCTAACAGCCATTATTATATAATGTGATATTACTTTGAGGTAGGCAATCACCAATTGTACATTTGTTTGGCCAAAACTATAGGTTAGTCTGTCCTTAGATGACAACAGTAGTTATAAATATAAATAAAATATAAAAATACCTCTTTGAGATAATTTAACATTTGCAGATTCATCAACTGGTTTATCAGCTTCTTCTAAAATTTACATAAATTTAATGATTTAAAAAAATAATAATTGAACAAAACAGTAATACATAATCCATGCAGTCAAAATTAAATTATAAAAATAATATTTATACCTTTCATTTTAACATTATTAGATAGACTGGAATTATCACTATCAGCTACAAATTCAGATTCATTTATATCTAAGGTATTATTTTCATTTTGACTTTCAGGTTCAGATATCTCTTCAACCTCTTCTACCTCTGAATCACAATCACTGGTACTACTTGAAGTATCAAGAACTTCCACATAAGACACCACTCTGTAAAAATGAAATTAATAAGTTTAGTATAAAAATATAAATCATACTAACATATAAACTTACTCTCCAATAATGTCATCATCAGAGTCACTAGATTCTTCAGATATACGATTTAGAGAAAGACTTAATCCGTCCATTGGTTCTTCTCTCTCAACAATTTGATCTAGAGTCATTGCATCTCTAAAATGTATTTTTAAATACATAATATTGATTTTAATTTTTAGAAATTTGTTTTGTTAAATACCCATCAGAAAATGATGAATTCTGATCATCATTTAACACCTGTTGCATAAAATTATCCATTGAGCGAAAAGGTGTCCTAATATCTTGCAGATTACTAACCATTGCTTGTTGAATCGAAGATGGTTGCAAGCCTAAAGCTAATGCCATCTAAAATGTTATTAATATTGAATTTAAATAAATGCTTAACGTGCAAATTTACAGAAAATAAGAAAAATTGTTTATCTCACTTGTGCAGCAGGTAATAGCATAAGACTACTAATTTGTTCATCATTAGGACGCTCATTATTTCTAGTCAAAGAACTTAAAAAATCTGGTTGGTGTATACTAACCACTTGTCCCTAAAATAAAAATATAATGTTTAATGTTAGATAGTACTATTAATGGTAATAAAAAAATATAATATAGATTAAAAGTAGTTGGCATATTTAAAACTCTATAAAAATATGAGAATAAATTTTTAATTAATTATGAATTTTAAATGAGATTCTTTTGAACGGAGACGTTTAAATAAAAATATTTACATTTTAGAAAATATATTATTTTTCCTACATAATTTGAAACTATTTTCATTATTTAATTTTTTTGAATGAGTCACTAAATTTTATGTCAAGCATTTTAATTTAAAGTATAAAATTTCCACATTTGTACTTAAATTCAAATCTATCTTATTTTTTTTTCATAAATTTAGGTTAGGAAATTTGTAGAAAATAAAAACTAATAAATAACAAATTTAACGATATATGTTTTTTTTTTTTAGATAATTTTGAATAGTATTTATTTAATGATCATATCACTTAAAGTCTCAAGGTTAATAATTATAATAAGATACAAAATGAATATTAATTATTATGTAAAAAATATTTTCTATATTTTTATGGGATAATATAGTTATTTTTTTATTGCTATATTTCAATATTAAGCCCTGAAAAGTTCTTATTAGCATTTAAAAATTTAAACAATCAGAATGAAGTAATATTAAGGTATACAAAATTAATTAACTTTACAAAATATTAGTCTATCCACTTATCTAAACTTTAAGTGCCAATCAGTGGCATACACAGAAATAATTGGAAGGGAGGAGGGCTTGAAAATAAATAACTACTCTGTTGTAACAGGCTAATTGGCTGAAAAAATAAAATAGTTGTTTTTTTTTTTCATTTTTTATTTAAGCATAAAATAAACAAAAATAATTTATAAGGCTAATAATAAATTATAAGAATGTTAACTAACTTAATGATGTTTGGATTCTTATAACAGCAGTTTAGTAGTAATCATAGATTATAGATACTTATTTATGAACTGTGGTTATAAGTGGTTATAATCACTGACTATGATATATATAATATAATATATGTAAATACACGCTTTGAGATGCTAAATTAAATTGTGGATACATTTAAAACAAAAAAAGTAATACAGGTAATTGGAGGGGAGGGGCCTAAAGCTCGCCTGTTAATCCCCCCTGTGCATTTCACTGGTGCTTATAATTAAATAAATACTCTTTAAAAATTCAATTTATTTTATCATAATTATTATTTATTGTACACCTGTATAGATTGTAATATCCCAAAATAAAGTTATATTTAAAAAAACAAAATTCAATTTTTATATTTTGAAAACCCTGAAAAATATGAAATTAAAAATGAATATTAAATTCAAAAGTAAAAAATGTATAAAAAATAAATAATAATACATTTTTTTCAAAGATGTTGGTTTGTAATACCTTTAGGGTATACATAATAACAATAAATACTTTCAAAATAATGAATATCTTATGTTGAAAGAATTAATGGTTTTCAAAAACCAATATAATATAGTACGTAAATAGGTTATTAAAAATTTTAAATTAGAAAACATACCTCTGTTATATCATTATTAGGATTAGACTTATGTAAGAGTGCATTAAACCTTTCAACCAAACTTCCATCTAAGAACTGTTCTCCGTTTATTAAATTTAAAAAGCCACAGTTTGGAAACCATTTTGCATGTTCAACCCATGTATTATCATTTACCTCCCAATTTTGAAGACCTCCATCACAGTGATAACAGCGAACTTCATCATTACTACCAGTAATAATAAATTTTATGTCTATTAATAAATGATCAATTATACTTTTTTAAATATTAAAGGATTAATAAACTACAAACATTTAAATATTTCTGAAAATATAATTTAATTTAACTAATAAGAGTTTATAAACACGTCAATAATATGTACCAGTAAAAAAAAATCCAGCGGAGGCTAAATCTTCAGGTTTTTGTGATGGATTATTCCAACCTTTGAAAGTTTTCAATCGAGCACTGAATGAATTATACTTTGTATGAAAAGCTACTCTATGTTCTCTTACACCCAAACCTTGAATATCAATTGGTTGACCTATTTCATCAAAATTGTTATTAATTAGTTCTATAATTAGAAGTTTTAATAGATATTTAAAAAAAATCTATATCTATACTACTATAGTGGAGTCTCAATAACTTGAATATCAAGGGAGATGAAAATTAATTCGACTCATGTATTTTTCAAGTTACATAACTCGAATTTTTTAAAAAAATTTCCTAGGAACAAAAAAAAAAAATTTGAGTTATTGAAACTTGACTGCATATAAAATTGTAAGGGATTTTCTACGACCATGCTAACCAAGAAAACTACTGAACCGATTTGGCTGAAATTTATGATTGTTATACCCGATAGCCTGTTGAAGGTTTAAGTACCACTTTTGTTAACAAAAAATAAAATAAATTAAGAAAAATGGGAATTTTTATACATATCCAATATTATTATTAAAATTATTGTTTTGTAACTACGGTTACCAATAAAACACTTATGTTATAAGAGTTGTTATGATTATACGGAATGAAATTTTAAAAATATCTTAATTAATTTAATTATATTATCTATCTATTTATACTATATCTTCACACTGTTTTATGGTAAGATTTAATTAACTCAAAAGTTAATAATAAAGTTCTTGAAAAATTAAAAAACAAAGCTAATTTTTGGGGCCTCTCTGCAAGGTGTTGGTAAAAACAGGCCTTTTTTTTATGTTCCTATTTTGTAACAACACTATTTATCTTTTTTCTACTTTTTTATTTTTTTATAGAGTTGTTCCAAATACTAAATACTCTCCTAAATGTCACCAAATATTCCAATTTTTAATTTTTTTTTGTCTGGAGGAGGTGTATTGTTTTTAAATGTTCTAATTTTCTAACGCCACTAATTAACATTTTTTCTAATTTTTTTTCTAAAGGTTATACCAAATACTTAATACCACTAGAAATATCTCAATACATATTCATTAACAGTTTTTAATATTTGCTGATCACATTATTAAATGATAAAATTTGAATAATCACAAAAATCAAATCACTTTCCGTACTACGGAATAAACTGTAAACTGTAATGTAAAATAATAATAATTTTTTCATGACATAAAAAAATAAAACATTTAAGGTTGGTCAGTTATTTGAGTCGTACTCTGACTTTCTAAGTCGGTAAGAATTACAAAAAAATATATTTTTATGATTTTTCCACGAGCAATTGTCGCACATCAAATGTAACACATCGAAAATACTCAAATAAATTGGAATTTCCTCACGAGTCACGAGATATTAAAATTTACTTGTTATTAAGATGGCAGATGGCAGTTAAGTGTTTAGTGTTTACCTTATTAGTTACTATTACTAATAATTATAAATTATTATATGATGGTTGTGCATCTACATCAGTCTGACCATAGTCGGGTGTCTACTATAATCCCGACTATGATCAGGTGTATATACACAGCTAAAATTAATACTTTATCATAAACTTTATGAAAAAATATGTTATTTTATCACCAAAAACTGACCAGTTTCCTTATGATTATCAATAAAATCTCCTCTCAACTGAATTCCTTCGATAATAGGTATATTACCACAGTCTTGACTAAAGAAAAAGTTACAGTTAGGATTGTGACGTTTATGTTCATCAATAGCATTGTCACCAATTTCCCAGTGACAAATACAAATATTACAAAAAGCACATTTAACCTAAAATTAATAAACAAATATAACATTATAGCTTTTACTTATCTGTAATAAAAATAGTTATATAACTAATTAAAAATTTTAATTACTTTGTCGGCTCGTTTTGTGTAATAGAATCCAGCAGCTGCTAAACTTTTTGGAGTTATCATAGATGATATTGGCCAACCAGTAAATGTACTCAGTCTATTGCTTTCATTTTTTAAATCGATTGATTGTGATAAATCCATTAGTATAAACAAATCTGTAAGCAACACATGTATTTAAAATCATTTAATTTAATATTAGTGACTATGACATTGTGATGAACATTCATCTGTAAGGCAATTAAGCAAACAAAAAAACGTACAACATACACATTTGTTATGACTAAATTTGATACTTGACAAAAACAAATTACACTGTTTTACCTATTATAATCAACTATTAATTAGATATTTGACAAAAAAATATAGGTTTGTTTACGTATAAATTATGTATAACAATAGCATCTGTACTATACTTAAGTAATTACAATTAAATTACGTATAATCTACATAGGTGAATACAAAAAAACAAAAAAACAAAAAAAATAAATAAATAATATATTAATATCAATTAATATGAATATTTATAATATAAACTTACGTTAACAATTTGACTAGTTGTTTTTAGTTTGATTTAGCTAGATCTTACGCATTTTATTTGTTTTTCTTAACAAAGAACGTACAAGTAATTACAACTAATTAATTTAACAAGAATTTAAAAGAATTGAATAATAAATTAGGTATATATTATAATGATTATTAATGATCACTGTTCATACAAATATTATGCGCAGAAATTTCTGTAATGTTTATCATTAATAACCACTGAATGACTGAAAGTTACAACACAACACACCGTGTTGATACTTCATTTGTTTTAGCCACTACTCCACTCTAAGTAGTAAACAGTAAACACTAAACAGTGTTGTTGTAAACTTAGAGCCTGTAGAGTGTAGATTGAATAAATCGATGAAAATTGATAAAGCATTTGTAACCGTGGTTAGAGAATAGAGATATACAACAGCTGATTAGATCATATTCCATAGTGTATCCCATACAGTAAGTTGTAAGTATGCTATAAGGTCTATGATGTTTCAAGTTTCAACTGCCAAAGTGCCAACTTTACTATGTAGTAATGTAGTATGTAGCCCACTAGCGGGCCGCGGCCCACGGCACACTGGTGCCTCTATAGGTCTGCCGCGAAATTTCACAATTATTAACCCGTAACTAGTCACGTCGGGTCATAAGGACCCGATGTCTGTGAACATGTATGTTATTTTTAGATTCAGTTATTTGGGAAATAAGGGAATTTTCTGTAATCTCTATTAACTTCTTTATCTATAATGTGAAGTGTTAAATTAACCGCATATTGATTATTATACCAGTTAACTGTTAAGTCTTAATGTCTTGAATTTGACCCGAGACGATCGTTCGTGCACTATAAATATAAACTCACTCAGCTATTGTTTGTTTGCAGTGTGAAGAAAATATTTAAATTAAAAAAAAATTATATTTATATTTATGTTATAATTTTACATGTATGCTTGATATTAAGTAGTTAATAAATACAGAAATACTTTTTTTTTATAAACTCATTATGAATTTAATAACGATTATTCGTATGTATTAAAATTGTTTTAATTATTATTTTTTAATATACAACAAGTGAAATAAAGAATTGTTTGTCAACAATGTCAACCATTCGACTACGTAGGATGCTCATAAATCATAATGAAGGGAAAACAGTCCCAAATTTCTCACTAGACTAGATTTTTTATGAAAACGTAATAATACTTTTTCTATCCTAAATAAACACACCATTTTAAATTGTTTGCTAGTAATTTAATGATATACTATTACTTTGGTATTAATATTTAATAATTAATATGAGATAGCCTACATAAAATATATATATGTATATGTTACGGTAAATGATGTTATATCAGAAATTAACGTTATTCGCCGGTTATTAACGTTATTTACCTACGAATGTGGGAATTATCGTTATTTTCTAGTGAATAACGTTAATAACCGTATAATTTGGGAAATTTTGATCTGATTATAAAATAAAAAAGGTTATTGCGGAAGCTTTAAAAAAATAACCAAAGAACCAATCATCAAAGAAGACAAAATCGGAAATTAAATCATAGAAATCGCAGAAAAAAATTCGGAACTTGGTACTTAAATATTTTTTAATTATTTAACGATAAATTTCCGAATTTTAAATATAACAAAAATAAAACTAAAATATAAATATTTGAAAATTATTTTAAATATTTTTTTGATGATTGTCAAGAAAATATTTGTATTGCATGTAAAAATTCAAAAAATTTTTTAGAAAAACAAGGAGAGGAAATGATGAAATTTTCTAAAGAAAAGTTTCCTCAGCTTGAAATAGGCTTAACTGTATGTGTATTTATACCAAACGTTGATAGAGCTCGTGGTTCTATGCAAAATATACTATCAGTTGTCACTCAAGTTGAACATGATTTATACAAACTCTGTAAGTTAATTCTTAATGAAAAAATATACTATTAAAATTAAAATTTGTTTTATTATTTTATAAATACGGAATATAGTTTTCTAAAAATATTATTTCACATGCCAAAAATAGCTGTTTGCAAATAAAATCTATTAGACATGGACAATGTGATAAAATTAGCAGATGGTAGACAGTTGACACTGAGGGAAGTAGCTAGTAATAATTCGGTTGCGAGCCCTCGAAGGTACCAGCGTTGTCATTGCAAGACTAGTTGTAATAATAATAAGCATTGTGCCTACCTTGGGGCTGAAAAATTATGTTATATTAAATGTCATGGGAGTAAAACTTGTAAAAATAAATAAAAAATAATAATGCATTTATTCTATTTTTAAAAATATCTGGGTACTTACATAATTTTTCAAATTGTAGTATTTGAGATTCATGCGCTTATCTGATTTATAACATCAATTACCTGTGTATTTGGTCATTAACGTGATTATCCAGTTTATAACGATAATTACCTGTATATTTGGTAAATAACGTTAATAACCGGTGAATAACGTTAATTTCCATTTAACATCATTTACCGTAACATATATATAAGTCAGTGACAAGATTCCACGACTGAATATGGATTGGAATTAGTGTGCCGACTGTGCCGCGAGAGAAATAAGTTGGGAAACGCTGGACTCTAATACTCTATAGACAATAGACATGTTACTTGTTAGTGTAGTCAAAATTTGAATTTCAAACTATATAGCTGTAAATAAATATTCAGTGTTTGGTGCACAAATAATATTATTTTTATGTGTTAAGTGTATTTTGATATTTTAATATTTCTTGTGTGCATATTTTATATATTATTATAGAATAATTTTATCATACCAGATACAATTGCTTATGTGTTTCTCAAATCTCTTCAATCTTTTAACATCAGTGGAAAAATCGGAATTTGGCAGTCAAATTTAATTTGGAAGTTAGAGTGATTTAGAGTAATGTGTATCACCTTAAGGTAAGAACAATTATGAATAGCAAAAAATTGTGAAATTTTGAATGAACATGTTACATATTTATTACACGCAAAGGCGTGATAAATAACAAAAAGTTGTTATAGGTTTGAGGAAGTTTAATGCAATTGGAAATGGAAATATTAATAAAAGTATTTGTTTGTACTAAAAATAAATCAATGCTAGGCTAGTTAACCAATATTTATATAGTTTTATTTATTATACAAAAATTACTGGTTATAAATACTAGAAATTATAATAGTTGATATGAACCATTTTTACAAAATGTAAAAACTTAAATAGGTATTCTAGTTTTAATTTATGAGGAATGCATCCTTTATAAATCTTTAATTTTCTCAGAACTGTCGTAATTTCAGATACTCAATTTTTTAGTAAATTATTTATTATTTACAATTACCTATAAAAGTATTTAGTGTTTACATTAAGTATAGTAAGACATTCTGCATTACTAACGTGTAGGATATTGTAATAAATTATACATTCATTACAATTTATATCTTTATTTCAACATTTTATAAAATATTTTAATAGGATGATTTTGATCTTGATAATTTTTACTGTGATTTTTAATAATTACAATAGCTGATTTGTTTTTTTCATAAATATCAACATAACTGTCATTAAGAATATTATTATTTATTATTATCCTTTTATAAAAAAAAAAAATAGCCCATAGTTAATGAGGGTAAAAAATCGTCAAATTATTGATTACAACTTTTAAACGTATTTGAATTTTTTAATATCTAATAAAAATTCTCAGAAGTTTAATGCAATAATTGAAAAATCATAATATTATACAAATATACAATTACAAGTATTTAGCATATTTATTATTTTTATACATAGTATTTATATCACGTAATATTAAAATACTTGACTGGCGCACAGAGAATACTGTTTATATCGTTAACTGGCTGCACTGTGATTTGCGGGTAACTTCGGGTACCACCTCGACTACCATAACATGTATTATATTTTTATCTAAGACTACCACCACCTGTCCTGTCCTGTAACAAACCACTACCCATTATACTTGAAAATTATATAACCATAGTCAGACAGGTTATCAACAATACAACAAATAATAAACAAGACAAGTGAACAGAGTGTGTACCAACTACCGATTTGCCGTATTAAATAAAGTAATCGCGTCCTATAAATTCTAATACACCTGTCGTATACTGCAATAATGCATGCAGTTCTATAATCCCCACTTTCCGTACTCCAGTACACTAAGCTCCGTAGTTCATTCGTTATTTTGATGTCGTGATATTCGTTCGGTTCGATCCAGTAGTTCGGTGAATCATAATTACATAATATCTAGAACATTTGATTATTGTTATTACCATCATTATCTGATCGATCTATACGTTACTTATTTATTTAACGGTATACTTCCGAGCCAGAGTTCCAGACTTTAGACGGATATCGAGTTTCACGGTGCGTTATCCGGTCAAACTTGAATGCGATAATCGTACACGCGATGCGCCGAAGTCTTATAACCTAGCCGGAAGTGCGATTGACCAACAATGGACCGTTTAGTTGGTCGTGAAGATGCAGTCGATGATGACGCCTGCCCTTCACAACGGGAAATCGATTGTAAACCGTAGTAATTACCCGTAGCCTCGAATACATACATTGATTTCATGGAATTTTGTAAATATTTGTTGCTCACCATTTTCCTGTTTCAAATGGTAATTATTTTTGTTAGCTTTTACATATTGGGTTTAATAGTATATTAAATGTATTCATATCAGTCGTGACTTGTATATAGTTCACCTATGTCCTTAATGTTAGCAGTTATTTGTGGGAATACTTTGCTAGGTAATGAACATTTTTTATTGTGGCATTTGAAAAAATGTATACTAACGTTATAATCTATTGTATAGATTTTATTAGTGTTTTATTTCTGTCAAATTTAAGAAATTAGTTTTCTAAAATATCTTCCTATGATAGGTATTCTGATCTAGCTAACTGCTTATCTAACCAATTCAACACTTTTCTCATATTTGCTTTTTATAATTCTCTCATAAGAAGTTTTAATAAATTATCTTATTAGGTATATTTTATAATGTATAATAATATTGTTAAAATTAATAATAATAATAATAATAATAAAAATGGTGTAGCATAATTGGGCATTTTTACCTAATGAGTATTCAAAATAAACATAATATTTCAGTATGGGCATTAAAATGAAATATGATAATACTTTTTGTTAAAGAATATTTTATAATCCATAAATGGCATATATATAAACGTATGCTATAATAAGTACTAATAATATTAATGATAATTGAAATAAGTAAAAAAATGTGTTAAGTAAAATTTGTATAATAATTAATATAATTTTTTTATTTCTTGATCATAAAAAAATTTTAAAATTAAAGATAAGTTTTTTATATTGAAATTATGAGTTGACTTTAATTATTATAGTAAGTTCTGTTTCATAATTATACTTATGTTAATTACATAGCGGTTATTTGATTTATATTGTTAAAGTTTGTATGTGATATCAAAATACCATGTTTATAACTTTAATTTTAATCCATGTTCATAATTAATGATTTCTAACTTCCATAAAAACCTATTTATATGCCACTTTTTGTTATCTTTTACAAAATACCATTAGTCTTATTATATATCAATTTAAATATACTATTATGTTTATTTTTTAATTGTACCTAAATACATATTATTTATTTATAAAAATATTCAATTAAATAATGATAATTTATTGCTATATAATATTTTCGATTAATTGTTTTCATAAAATAAGTATGTATTTATCATAAAGTATTTTTTTTCAATGTCTTGTTATTTATTATTTCTAGGTTTCAGTTGGAGCAAGACAAGCATTTGATTTCCTTGGATTTATGTGGGGATCTGTATTAGCAAACTTCTTTGAACTTTTGTTTATTATTTTTGGAATATTTGGTGTATTGCAGTCAGATGTATTATACTTATTATCAGTATGTTATATTTTATTGGTTATTTAATAATATGTAGATTACATTATTATTAATTATTAGTTGGTTTATTTATTTTGATTTTTGTTTTATTTAATATGTATCTATTATTGTATTATAGTATTCAGCATGGAGTATTGTTTGGTGTATATGGAATATATTTGTAGTTTTATATTATTTGGAATTGCCAATTTTTAGTAGTGTAAGTATATTACAATTAAAGTTTATTTTCTAGATTAGTTGTTTTTAATATTTCAATTTGTGAACTACATATTTGTTAACATTATTAATATTACTATTTTGCAGAGCTTTGATGTGATGAGCCTTGGTGCAGATAGTGTTAGTTGGTGGGAGTCTAATGGTCCTGGTTGCAGAGTATTTTTTTATCCAAATCATACTGGTATCGAAGAAGATGCTATTAAACCAATTAGACCAGATTTGATCACTGGATGTGTTATGGATTATCAAAAAATTGAAACAGCTCAAGCATCCATACAAATCCTTTTTGCTGTAAATTATTAATACAATATTAAATTATGTTTTTTTTTCAAACTATAAGTATAATTTGTAAACTATTCTTGTTTTCTAGGTTTTTGGTATTCTTTGCAGCTTGTATGTATCATGTTGTTCAAAATCTAGAGATGAAGGTATAACTATTACTTATAAATCAGAATAATTTAATCTAGTTAATAAATAATATATATTATATTAAATCTAGGTTTTGAAATTAAAAAATGTCTACATACACATTCTTTGTCTAATTTACACATTTATAGAATATATTTATAACTTTTATATTTTACATCGGCTAAAATATTTACATTTGAACTAACTATATGAATTTAATATAAGTTATGGTTAATGGAATATTCTTATATTGTGTTTAGAAATAATGTGATTATTTTAAAAGATATAAGTGTACTATTTATTTGCTCTCTTCAACCCACATAGAACATGACAAGTATACTTTCTATATTTCCAATACAGTTTTGTTGTTATTAATATTAAAATAAATTTATCTATTATCAAACTTTAAATAAATTCCCTCACACTCTTGTTGATTATATTTAATATCCTAATTAAAAATTAAGTTTATGTTACTTATTTGTAATTTTGCAAAATAGAAACAATACACATTGGTGTACAGTGGTCTTCAGAAAAAATTTGTATTGTATTAGTATCTCCTAATATGTATTATTAATTAGCAATTGTCAATCTCTATTTCTCTGTTAGAAAAATTGTTACAAGTTCAAAATTATTTTTATAAGTTGTACCATTTTATTAATGTGCATATTATTTAAAAAACCTATAAATATCTTTATGTTTCATGTTGAACTGGTTATGGTTTATCAAAGGTTTCATTTAATATTAAATTATAGATTCAAAAATGATATTCTGTACAAGGCATAATTCTGTAAAATTAAGGATCTGCTTAAGATATTTTTCATTGTACTTAAAATTTGCTTCAAGATTTAAACTAAAAAATATTAAACTATGGATTATGTTATTCATAAAATTATTAACTATTAAAGATAATAATAATTATAAATTAAATTTGTATAAGAGAGACTATATTTATTTTATGTTAAGTGTATTTTATTTTAGAAATTAAAAACTTCAAAGTTAGTAAAATGTATTTTAGTGTTCAGCAAATAAAAAAAAAATGGAAGTTTTTTAAATAGATTCAAATTATTGTTACTTAAAAATATTTTTTTGTTTGTGTCTAAAATAATTAAAATTCTTTCTTTCTCAGGTATTTACTACAAAAGTAAGCAACCAAAAACTATTACACCAATATACTCGATTGAATATAGTTCACGCCGAGGAGATGAAATTGAAGAAATAAGTACCATCAGTGGCAGTGAAGGTATAATAATATATTATACTTATATTTTGTTTTAATATGTTATAACATATTTATAATGATGACATTATATGCTAGATGGTGATTTAGATGCACAAAGTTCACAAAGTAAACCCATGACACCCAGACGAGTAAAACGAAGAAGTGTAACTTCTAGAGGTACTTTACCTCCTCCTCATCAAGCTCCACCGCCATATCTTAGACGACAATCCAGCTCTCAATATTCTAGTCGAAGACATAAAAATCCTGTTTCTAGACTTATCCAACAACAGTATTCAAGTATATAATTAAATAATTCATTTTTATTTTTGAATTACCTATGTACTTATTGTTTTAAGAATATTAAAAATTATATACATTTTTTAGATAATGGTTTGAACGATTCATCAACATCAAATGATTCAAGCCACCCATTATTCCCAGAATGTCGAGTTGAACTAAGACATGTTAATAGAGGCATTGTGAATCCTGCTTTAGATACAGAATCTGAACGTCCGACATCAGCTCGTTCAACATATTCAAATTTCCATGGAGCACGAGGTCGACCTAGACAAGTTAGCACTCATTCAACTTTTTTTGCTCCATCAGAACAACCTCCACCAGCTTATCGTAGTAATGCTTCTGTTAATTCTGAAACTGTTATATGATTTAGAAAAACTTTAAAAATGTAGTTCAAAGTAGATAAATTTTAAGATCTCATTTTTATTTTAAACAATTTTACTACTTAACTGAAAAATTAGTTTTGGTTTGTTTGTTACCTTTTTAATTTTTCTAATAGTGGTCCAATATTTTTGGAAATGAGGCTTATTGTATAAAAAGACATAGTTAAATTTAATTAGCAGGGGTAGCATATCAAACCATTGATGAAAAATCAATTTTTTTATTTTAGTAACTGGTACATAATGTTGAAATTAAATTATAGGCAAATTTTCTCAACGAAAAAAAGTAAACAAATTAAAAATTTTTTGTGGCATTTCACCTGTGACAATGAGTTAAAGATAGGGATTGCATTCTTAAATATAATATTAGTGTTAATCAAAATTTGAAATTGGGTTTTTAATTTCTGACTTTTATTAATTATTAAATTTTTAATTTTTTTTTAAATGTAACAAAATAAAATAAAATAACTTGCTTAGTTTTAAACATTGAAGTATTAATAACAAATATTATTTTGACAGTTTTTAAGTTTCATTTAATTCTATTATTTTAATTTTAATAATGTTAAATGGCTTTGGATAAACTAAAACTTACAAGTTATTTTTATGATTTACCTAAATTTAGATAGTTCCTGTTTTCTGTTTTTAATTCCATTTAAAAATAAAATTGATGGTATAAAAATATAAATGTATATACATAATATATTGTGTCCCCTATTAGGTATATATTTTAAGTTAATAATCAGAATCAAATTAATAAGCTCAAATAGTTTTTTTTAACATCACATTTTTTTAAATGTTAGTAAGAATGAGTTCAATTAGTATTTAATCTTGATCTATACTGATAAAAGTAAAAAATAAATAAATTGTATGTTGGTTTTTAATTTGTATTATTTTCACTTAAAGGTTTAATGTGTATTGGGTTATTAAGTTAAAAATGATGTTAACACACTTTGTTTTCTTTCTAACCTATGTGCAACATGTCAAATATTTTATTTTTATTTTATGTTTTTTACTTTAATATTAGTAGAAATTGATCTATTATATAATTTAAAGAACCTAAGTTAAGAATATTATTTGTATTGATATAATTGCTTTTTTTTACAATTTTTAATATTTCTGTGATACATGATTGTTTTTTACATTGTGATATTTTATCTACTCACACTTGTATCAAAGTTAAAATAGCCTTATTATCCAAGGTACAAACTTTAATGTTTCCTTTATGTTTAGTAATAGATTAATTTATCATTAATATTACTGGTAATAAAAATAAAATTTTCTATGTAGGCTGTATTCGTGAACCATAGAGAGAAAACAAATTGTACATTGAAATTCTCATAAATAATTAGAACATTATTTTTTAAACTAATATAACACAAAAATATTTCATTAGTTATATCTTAAATTAAATTCACACAGTTAGTTCAAATTTCAATATTTTAGCTCTATTTCTGTTACCAAAATAAACATAACTATGCGTAAGATTATAAATGTATTTAGTCATAAGTAAATATAAATCCTTATTTTTAATGTACATAATATAAACTGCCAATTAAAATAAGGCAAAGATCATAGGTTGTTGATAAAGTTTTAAAAATAAAATTAATAATTTTAATAAAACTTCTTTATCATAGTACCAAAAAAATAAACAGACTTAATATCGTCTCAAAATTATACCTTTATCAGAACATTCGTGTTCCGTCCACTTTTTATAACTTTAAATTTAAATGAGTATAAGTTTTGAATGTGTAAACTTTTTTTTATATTTATATTTTTTTATACTGTTTAGTTGATTTATAAATGAAATACATATTTTAACATTGTATCTATATATTTAAATATTGAATTTAAATGTTATTGATAACTGATAAGTAATTAAATGCAACAAAATTGTGTTTAAAATGTTAAACTTAATCTAATATTCCATTAACAACTAATGTTTATACGACCATCTCAAAAAAATATATTTTTGTATTTTCTGAAATGTGTTATCTTGTAATGTTAAAATACGATTATATTATAAGATTTGAGTATTATGCTCTATGTCTAAGAGCTTAAAATTTTTAAATTGTACTTAATTAGTAATAACCTATATGATAATGATGATTACAAAATTAGTGGCCACAATGTGAGACTCGTCTACGCTCAATGTGTCATACACGTCATGCTAAGCTACTCGTTTAGGCTGAGCTCAGGTCATTTAATGGTGACATTAAGGCGAGCAGTTAGTCGTGGGAATCAATATTTCAAATAATAATGCAAATAATTTTTAAAGACTTATTGTTCAGTAAAAATAGATGTTGGGAGTATATTTTATTGATGTACAAATAAATACCAAATAATCTTTATGAAAGTTTTTTATTCATATAACTTTACTTAAAACAACTAAATAGGTTAAATGTAGTTAAACACATGTCAAAAATCAGTCTAATATCAAAACACTAAAACAAAAATATTTATCATAAAATATAAATTGTTTTATCTTTTAGTGTACTAACAAAATAAATAAACACGGGAAGATCTGTAAAATTAATAGAAATTAGTAGATATTAATTAATTAAAAAATAAATGTATTAATAGCGTTGTCACTCATGTATTGATAATTCAACGAATCACTTTAACAATTTATTAATTTAAGTCAAAAAATTGTGATATTTTTTTTTTTTATGTACATTCTTTTCTAACTTGGTGTATTTGTTTTTTGTTGTAATTTACTGTATGTACTTAAAAAAATGTATCCTATTTCAAAATAAACAAGCCTATCCAAATTGTATGTTGTTGTTTATTGTAATTATAATTATGGATTATAAATACTTAATGTTACTACTTAATATTTATAATCAATGTAATACTTATTTTATTAAAGGTCAAAATCATATAACATAACCACCATATTATTTTAATGAGATAAATTAAAAAAAAAAACAAGACAATATTGAGATGCAATTTAAAAATGGATGTAATTTTATTCAACATCCAATGTGCAGGTTATGAGCCATATCATTCATAACCTGCCGCTGTAACTGCTATAAATGATCAACGTCTGCCATGGTTATGCCTTTCCAAGCTATTGTAATACAATAGTGTTGTAACAATTGTTGGAGTAGTTCTAGTTCATCTAGCATTTCTAATCTTTCCATACGATATCTATCTTCTTCAGGCAAGTATTCATATATATTTATCATATTCCAACTTCGTGCACTATCCCAACCAACTCTTACAAACCTATTTAGTATTTATAAATTATTAAAAATAAATAGTATTTATATTTTGATATTCAAACCTGTCCATTTGCGTTTGAGGACTTAAACATGCATCAACACCAGCTAACTGACATCCTCTATTGCGTAAATTATCCAGCATGATACGCCCAAAATTATCGTTCATGTTCACCTAAACAATCAATATTTTACATTATGGAAAACTGTATTGATAGAAATTGGAGCATTGAAATATTGTACTTGTTCATAATTAATAAAAAAAATGTCATTAAACTTCTTGGCAATCCAGTGCAATAACATTGATGAACTTTCTGGTTCCATGTAGACAAGAACACATTCAGTTAAAAACATTGTGGGCACATCAAAATTTATGCCGCTTTGAGTTAATTTCTTATCCAGTTCTGCCAGATTTCGAAGATCTGTGCCGATTATATGGAAATCAGGTGAATGCAATTCTGATCCTATGATCTTGACTTCACCTTCTATGTATAACAATAATAATCAGCAATTAATAAAAGTGAAAAGTAATAGAATACTGATGGTCATCACTCATCAATAACAAACCTTGTTGGTTAATGGTCTGTAATAAAATTTGATTTTTTTTTATTAAAAAACATTTTTTGGACGTAACTGAAGCAAAGTCTATTTCAATATAATTATTAACTGTTATTCCACTATTTTTCAGTCTCCAGTATAAAGTGTCAAACCCAGCACCAAGGTTTATGATTTGACAGTTTGACCCAGTTTTCTATAAAAAAATTAAAAATATTTAGTTTTCACAATCAATATGTAGAAGTAATATGTGCTTTTAATTAACATTATTTGTAAGTACCTTGAGAAATTTGTCCATAAACATAGCAACACCTTTGGTACGAGCATAATACCCTCGATTAATCTCTGGTGTTTTACGTTCGTAGCCAGTAACAAAATACTGTATGAAGTCGTCTTGCCAATAGCCCATCTTCACAGCTGAATACTTACATTTTGTTGCATCGCAGTTGGTTGCTTGAATCCCATCATCGAAAGACATATTTGAACTCTGGTAATGAGTTACTATTTATTAATTTGGACACGTTACTGGAAGTTAAATATCATTATTTTGCAGCACCTGCAATGAGATACAAGCTCGTTGTCGAAAAATGACTTCGGAATCTATTTTATAAATATCGTACAATTTTACTATTGCATTGAAGAACTCTGAACCTGTTAAGCAAGATCCTTGAAATTTGAAACAAGTGTTATAGATAATTGAACTTAAGTAACACACCAACACTATAATATTCCAATTTCCAATTCAATATGTTTTCTAATAAAACGTGGCTTAACAGAACGTTAAATGCTCTACTATTCACAGTTCACACTAAGTGTTGCATATTTTTATTTTTTAATATCTTATCAGTATTCAATGTTATTGTTATCATCTATGCGGCATATTCGTATTTCATAAAACCATTATCACAGAACAGATAATATTATTATTATTATTATTATTATTGTTATCAATTCCACGGAACGGTTCATAGAACCATACCACATTACCACTGTACTACAACTTTACTGTAGCCTTTAGGTTCAGAGTATTTAACCCATAGAGTAACCAGTAACCACGCGCTGTTTTATCATAGATAGAGAAACGATTATAATTATTATTACGCATACGTATAATCTGAAATATAATAATATAATATTAGAATGTGGATGGACCAATTGGACCACGAATTAAGAATTTAGATAGTCTTTATTTCTTTAATCTTTATTAAATAATAATTATAATAATCTGATTCTAATTTCTAGTGACTCTTTCCTTTAAATCGTATCATATTAATATTATTAATCAATAATCGTAATGATGTGAGAATTATTTAGAGGAGGAACGACAAAATGCCGAGTCGTAAACAGCCGACTAAAATGTAAAAATATTGTCCAAATTTATCGCATCCGCTAGAATACGTTCTGAAAAGTAGTGATTAATGATGTTTTTATTAATTATGTATTATGTGTTTATGTAATACAATATGATAAACATTGTACGCCACGATTTAAGATAATAATGTAATACTATTTTACTTAGTAAATATGTATATATAATTTATACATATTATATGTGTATTTGAGTATTTAATATTTTAATGACGAATTCCTATGACCTATTCCATACTACCACAATCTGTAATTTACAGAATATATTGATATTTGGCACCTGGCAATTTTCAGCACATTGTGGGACGAGACACTGCTTGATTTGTTCTGTTCTGTGATAATATTACAGATAATTTAGTTTTCGTAAGGTACTTATTAGTTGCCACTACTTAACACCTACATGCCTACTTGACTACATATTAAATAGTATATGGCTATATAACTATATAAGTAAAATATGTAATACTTATGGTTATCGTGTCGATAAAAAAAAAAAAATTAATTCAAAAACGTTAAGCATTTGGCTAATTGAGGTGCGAAAATTCCGATATATTTTATCTGTTTTCTAACTAGTATCAGTTAATTTAATTATTGCAGGTAGTGGGAGGTTATAGATATTAATTATACTTGATTGGTCATATTATTATTTTGTTACAGTTTTACCTTGAACGGCTTGAATAAGGAGTCTTATAATCGCATTATGTTGATAAATTGTAGTACAGATTATAAATTATATTAACAACTGTACAAAGTCTTCATTCTACAACATCTGAAATTGCAGTATACAAGTGCACTTATAATTGTTGAGATAAAGAAGCAGTAGACATTTTGTTGTTGTAAGTTTAGCTTGTTTTTTTATTATTTAGTTAGTACTTTTTTTTTTAAAAATTGGTTTGTTGATTATTTTATTAAAATTTTAAAGTTTTAGTTTTTTGTCACAATGGTACAAGCTTGGTTCATGAAAGAAAATTGGAGTGGTGATCAACGTGAAGAACATCATATGGAGCCGCCTGAATTTATTGATTTGGATACTTTATTTAAACTCACTTTAGTGGAACATTTCAAAGTATGTACAATATACCTACATGACAATTGCCAAGTCAATTGTTTTCAAATAATTTTCAATGTATTAATACCTATCAAAAAGTTTTTTCTGGGTAGGATATGTAGGTATTATTAAATTTTATTTAATAAGAAATTATTTTTTAATTTTTATATATTTTTAATACAAATTGTACTATTGCTAGAATAATATTTAATATCTACTTCCAAAGTATATTAATTTTTTTGGGAATTTAATTTAATTTAAAATTATAATTTATATTATGTCCATTTAATTGAAGACTTATTTTGTGTTATAGTAGTTATATGATTGAAAGTTGACAGTTTTAGTATTTATAATTAGAGCTGCTGCTAGAGCTTTTGGAATAATCTGCAAATTAAAATTACTGGTCCCTTTATTTAAATCCTCTATTCCCTCTATATTTTAAACTCAAAAATCGTTTTTTTGAACGAAAAATATACTACTTAGTAGAAATTTAATCAATTTTTAAATTCAAAAGTACATTTATGAGTATGTACATATTAATACATTTAAGCAGTCTTTGATAGTTTATTTGAACTTAAGTGATCAGAATCTTGGGTTTCTGAGAGACCAGAAGTTTAATATCTATTTAATATTTTTATTAGCAATACATATCAAATTTTTAATAAAATAAAATAAATAAAAATGCTAGTTTAATTTGAATGCATACAAATATTTATAATGACTAACGATTAAAATCTAAAATAGCGCAGGGTTTTGTGTGACATATTCATCACCCCATTTTTGCTAGTCCTACTCATATTAGTATAATATAATGTAATTCACTATATGTTGATGATTTATAGCCGCCATTCATTTTAGATTGTTTAATACATTGAATAGTTTAAAACCTATCTATATAAAATATTCAAATTATAATTATAAGTAATACTTAATTTAATATCATAGATTGATGTTTTACAATATTATTTGGAAAATACTTAACATTATTATGATAAAATAAAATGAATGTTGTAGTTTTTTTTCACAATTTATTTTAAAAATCTAATGTGTCTAGATGATTATTACATTAAAATTAATTAAAGTTTCTATTAAATTTTTAATTATTTACAGGTTAATGAATCAGATCCCACTAATGATAAACTTTTAAACTCTATTAAAAAAGATCGAGGTTACTCTTACGAGGACGAGATAACATGTTCTAAAGAATGCTTACCAAATTATGAAAGTAAAGTAAGTACTAAGTGTAAATTATCAAATAATTAAATATAGTTATATAAATAATTTTTTTTTAGTTGAAAATGTTTTTTGAAGAGCATTTACACACAGATGAAGAAATTCGATTGGTTTTGGAAGGTTCAGGTTACTTTGACGTTAGAGATGGAATAAATGACAAATGGATTCGTATTAAAGTTGAACCTGGTGATTTGTTAATAATTCCAAAGGGAATTTATCATCGTTTCACTTTAGATACAAATGTATGTATTGTATATGAAAATTTTAAATAATAAAAGTATGAAATGGAATACTATGTATCATAAAAGATTATGGCAAAAAATACTATTTTTTTTTTTTTTTAATGAACTTAAATCATGAAATATTAAATACTTATACAAAAAACTATTTTTTAAATAAATATGTATATTTATATTTATATATTTTTTGATTATTTTGGATGATACCTATGTATCAGTATTCTATAACATATATTTGCTAATTATTTTTAATCTTAAAAATGTAGGGAATATAAATAATATTTTTATTTTTATTTTTTAGAATTTTATCAAAGCCAAAAGATTCTTTGTAGGAGAACCTGTCTGGACACCGCATAATAGACCTGCAGATAATATGGATTGCAGAAAGGAATATTTGAATCAAATAATGTCTTGTTAAATACAGTATATATTTATATATAAAAATATTTTAATGTTAATAATTCAATTGCCATTTTATTATATAAAATATTTTTTATCTACTTATGTTATTAAATAATTTTCAGTTTTTTTTAAAAAGCTATGTTTAATATACTTATGTGTCAACAGTTTAGAATATATTATTAGATTTACTTATACATAATATTTTCTGAATTAGATTTTTATTTACAAAATGAATTAAAATAATACTATTTTACTTAAAAAAATGTATACATATTTTATTATTAAATCGGAAAGTTCAATATATTTTAAAAATATAGGTATATTCATTGTAAATGCATAAATAGTATTTTTATAATATTAATTTATTTCTTTCAACTGAGTTTATTTTAATATACTACCTAATTAATAGATAAAAACTTAGAACAGAAACAAATATTTATATTTATAATATTTTTATATTATATCATATTTTTTGTGTATAACAACCATATAACTGGTTTGATAACAGTTTTTTGGAATCGTGGACTGCTGTGCACTAGAAAAGGTTTTTACTGCGTGGTAGTTTTTCACTGTTTTCTGCCTTGTCCTAATTTATAAATAACAATTTTATTATTTATAATCAAAAAATAATGATATTTAATTTATTTTTAATTTTTTGCTAGTAGAATTATATATTTTATTTTTGCTCAAGTCTGTCAAGTTCATGATTAATATGAATTATAAACATAGTTTATTTAATCATAAAACAACAATGAAATGTAGTACCTACTTATGAAAATATCAACAATACTCATGTAAATACATGATAGTAAATAAAATCTTTAAGATAACAGAACTATTATTATAGTGGAACCTCTACCATCTGAAGTATAAAATGTGAGTTTAAGCTTTTTATGAGAAACACATTAATAATAATTATGTTACAATAATAAATTATACATGAAACAATAACCAAATTTTTTACAATACAAATGTAAAAATTTCTTTTCATGATATTTGATAACTATGTTGGAATTATTAAAGATTATTAGAGAAAATATTAAACTGATCTGATTTTTACATTCGTATTGACGTAAATGTGTAATGATGTCCAGCACTTATTAATAACATTCAATTGCTCTCATATTATTAAAACTATAGGAACATGAACTTCAAGATGTAAAATTCTATTATAAATGAAAATAATATTTTATTTAGGACTGTAATTGCATAATATAGGTAGTAGAGCCATATTTAGAATTTTTGCATCAGGATTACTTGTGAGACACCACTCCTTTTTTATGGGGGTGGTGTCCAATGTTCAGAGTTAACTATTTAAAGTTATAAAACTATTAAAATTTTGTATTCTAAATAAATGTTATCTATAGAATCATATATTTTCTTATTTTTTTATTATTTGTTAAAAAAATAGCTATATATAATATTATATGTTCATTTGTTACCATTCTGCATACATACAGGCAATATTCGTTTCCATCAAAAGTGTACCTTTTCATTTACCACCAAATGTGAAATGAAATAGTAGGTAGTCAGTAGGTACCTAGTTATTAAGTTTTTATTAAAAGAACATAAATAGGTACTATTAAAACTTAATCAATCTACTGATAAACAAGTTGAAAAAATTTAATTTCCTTTTAAAAATGTCCCGTTGTATGTTGTCCAATGACAAAATATTAGAGTTTCTCGGGAACGAAGAAAACTCTGACTTATCTGATTTCTCTGATCGTTAAATCATAATGAAGATGAGTTAGATAGTCTGATAGCTTCAAATTAAGTTTATGAAAATTTTGATTTTAAAAATTATATAGAGTAGGTATGATATAGGTTGGAATATTGATAATGCTGTTGATGGTATTATAATGGTTATATTGATGATATAGTGGTTGAAACAAAAAATGTAACTACATATTTTATTGTAAATAAAGATAATAGAATTTAAAATGTCATTTACTTTTCTCACAGATTAATAAAGTGCTAGAAATTCCAACTATACCATATAAATATCATAGTGCCAGAAAAGAAGACATAAAATGGGAAGCAAAGGCACTCACTACAAAAGAAATTATTTTTACTGCATTGCCAGAAAAAGATTTTCCAAGTGTCCCATTACTACCTATAGAATATTTTCTAAAATACTTTTAAACCATATCATTTGAAGACATTGCACATTTTACTAATTTATTTGCTCAACAAAATACTACAAAAAACTGGATAGATACAAATGCATCAGTAATGAAGGTATTTATTGGAATACATTTATATATTGGTATTATTGAACTACCTCGATTCATTGTGTACTGGCAGCCAGAATATCGAATAAATATAAAAGGTAGCAGATAATATGACAAAAAACATTTTTTGAACTAAGAACTAATTTTCATGTACAAGATAATTTATTAAATCTTATAGACAATAGTGATACATTTTTTAAAGTAAGACCTTTGTACAATTCAATAAAAATAGATGTAATGAATTACATATTGAAAAAAACCTATGCATAGATGAACAAATGGTACCAATCAAAGGACGCCTTTGCCTTAAACAATATATGTGTGGTAAGCCTAGTCCTTGGGGTAAAAAATTATACTTATTATCACTTATAAATGTATTAAAATTTATGAGATACTATTTTTCAATAATTTACAATATCTTTTTTAAATTAATTAATTGTATTACAGCTTTCAATAGTGTAGAAATCGTTTAATTGAAAATGCGTTCAATATACTATTTGATGGAAAAGGAAAAAGTACACTGATCGGTGCAAATACGTCACGCTTATTCATGCATATACTAAATTTGACACTATTTAAAATTATTTCAAAGTAAATTTACTTAATTTTAGATTCTAAGTGGAACGACAAATGTAATGATCTTACTGTGATGTGTGCGCGTGTTTTTTTGTACATGTACGCTTTTTACGTAAAAATATGATTTTAAACTTTGGAGGTAGTGTCTTGCAAAAAAATTGGATCAACAAGCAATAGCAGATAGTTGCTGTACAATTTAGTTAGCTGAAAAACTTATTTACGTATTCTTAGTTATTACAAGCTTTTTTTTTTTATACGTTTCATTCTGTTTTGTTTTTAAAAGAAACTTGACAAGCTGTCATAGTTAACACAGGTAAAAAATTTGAAAATTTGTCAAAGATCCAAACGTGTGTTAATTTTCCAATATATTCCTTTATACTTGAAACAGCTTGTTACCATCGTCCTACGCATTGTATTTAAGGCAAACTTGTCAGTTGTCACTATATGCCTTGTTATTTTTGAATTTGTGTATCTAGTCTATTCTTTTTTATTTTATAATGAACTTAACTATTATAGTATTACTCGCCCAATCAGTGTATTTACGGTGCATATAATATTTCCTACGTATTTAATACAAAAAAACAAATTTTCTACCTATTAATTACTCTTTTTCCGTTAGTATAAAATATAACCTAAATTATGTACTAGAATTAAATTTTATATAAATAATTTAATAGTGCAGGGTTACTTGAAAAAATTAATTAATTATTTAACGGTTAAATTAAATTTAATGGACCAGTTATGGGCAGATGAATCTCATTATTTATTAATTTAATGTTTGTTAATTGTTCATGTAACCCAGCATAGGTATTTTAAGAATAAACATATTTAAGTGAAAATTGCATCTCAGATATTTTCCATATAGGTATATATAATATAAATGTTTTTTTTTTTTTTTAAATAATTATACCTATAAGTTCTATATTTATTTTTATTTATCATCTACCTATTTTTATAGGTAGATACTAGAAGTTGTTTTTATTTTGTCATAAAATGTAATTACAATAATACTTTTATTCCACAAAACAAAACACTTTTTTTCAATAATAATCTAACTTATAGGTTATATTTATTAATTATTATAACCTAATTATGTATCACAAAGCGTAGGTAAGGATATTGTAAGTGTCTTCTATATGTTCTGTATCTTCTACACGTAGTTAGAATCTATATAATGAGCAGCCAGTAGATAAGTATATTAGATATATTTCAGGGGTAAGTAGCATGTGTATGTATCTATATCTACCGATAATATTATGAACTTTTACATTTATATATTTTAAGATCATTTCAAAAACTGTATCAAGTCAATAGTCAATGCAGTTTTATGTTTAGTTGTCTATAATATTATAAACTAAGTAGGTATCTAAAATTATATTGAAAGGAATTTCACTGAAAATATCAAATCAAAAATAATCACTCATCTGATTATGTCTATAAACAGTATAATCGAATGGAAGCCGACGCCGAGTATCTATTTAACAATATTCATTTAAACACAACACACTAACAGTGGTAACAATTACTATTTACTATTATAAATAATTTTTATTTTACCTTTAAAATATTTATACTTAGTTACGTCTTTGCAGGTTTTAAACTTTTTAGTATCTTAGTAACTGTACGTTTATATAGTCTGTATACATATTATTGGTAAATTGTAAAAATATTTTGTACACAAATAAGCGAGTTTTATTTCAAATTGCTTAGAATAAAGTATTTACATTTGCTATTGAAGACTTATGTCTACTAAGAATATTACGATTAAAATACTGTAAATTGAAAACTACTTAATTGGTCCTTACTTTTTTAAATTGAGTAAGTATAATATGGATCAATATTAATACTATAACTTGTTAGGACTTTGAATTTAAACGTATTAGTTTATTTTGTTAGGCACTTTTAAAAGCTGTACATTTTTAATTATAATTTAAGGATTTATAAAAATTCTTTGAGATTTAAGCCTTTAATAAATATTGTCAACGTTAAAAGTATACACATTGATTTTAGATAATCTATTTCTATTTAATAAATCAAATTTTATTATGTCATTGACTATTGTACATAATAAATTAATAAATAATTGACAACATTATAGATGTCCTTAGAATTTTTTTGGATTTCATTATATAATAAAGACTAGTGACTACAATAATATATTTGTTTTACGGTCAACATAATTTATTCTTAGTAGATAGAAATAGATATCTACCTAAGAAATAAAACTCATTTATTCTAATAAAAATTATTATTACCGTTTACTGAAATCATAGATTAAATAGATTAAGTGCATTGTACAATTTACATAGATTCGTCTCAAGATTTTTTTAATTAATTTTTAAGATGTTAACGATGGGAGTCAATAAAAAAATGGATTTTCTTATGAAGCGTTATGATGAATTAAAAAATTCTCTAGAGTTTTTCAATAAAAGTAATGACCAAGTCACCATTAAATACATGAAAAATGTTACTAGATATGAAAATACATTAAAAGGTGAGTTCATAATATTATATTTTTGATATCATATTACTTTGATCAAATGCTCAAAATTAAATTTTTTAAATTTTTTAAAATATTTTTTATACATTTTATGATGAAACGATAAATTGTTTTTTGCTTGGGTAAAAAATTAATAAATGATCACTTTTTGAAAAACTTTTAACCTTTTTAGTCTTGATTTTTTTTTTAGGTTAGGTATTTCTAGTGGCTACAGTTATTAAAATATTTTAAAAGAAAGAATATTTTTAATACATCTATTTTCTGTTATCTAGTGTCTACTAGTACACAATATATACCACAAGTGGTAATAACACTCTACCAGAATTACATTATATTTAGTTTTATTTGAAATTATATTCTTAAAATAATTAGGTACCTACTCATAGGTACCGAACAATCAAGTTATATAGGTATATAGCAGTCATATTAGTTAATGCTATTTTTATATGGTTTAAAATATTTCTATGCTAAATATTTTAATATTTCTATGGGTTATAAAATAATTAGAGCTATAGAATATTATAGGTCTCATTGTGTCATAGTAACAAATATCTGACTGATGACTTATATGTATTAATTTTCTTGTTAAATCAGTGCATTTCATAATTTTTTTTTTAAAAAGAAGTGTTCCTCTTTGTCCTATTTTAGAATGTTTATAAAACATTTTGAGCTAATTTAAATATAGTATTATCATAAACTAATTACAATTTATCTACATTATAAACATTTTTTTTAAATGTTAGTAAGTGATGTAGATACCTACTTGAATTATATCTTTAACAATCTGACATTCATCGATTGACCCTATTATTCTATATTCTTATAAAAAACGAATAAAAAATAATAGTCTGTATAAAAAGGCTTTTACAGTACAATAAAAAGGGGATTCTGGTATCTTTTCCTCGTTCCTCATCTGTCATACTCGTCTTTCGTCTCTCGTTATCGTTTGCCGCCCGTTCAGTCGCATATTCAACATAAATACATTATCTGCGCATGTGTAGGGGCGGCAAACGATGATGAGAGACGAGGACGAGGTGCCAGAACCCCCCTTTTTATTCTACTTTTTACTGAAATTGTAAAAGAATCTTTACTTCATTGTATAGAAATGAATAATATACAACAAGAAAATAAAAAATTAGAAGAATATATTTCAGAAATTAAAAACTATGATGAAATGATTGAGAAAACTATACAAGAAAATGACTATTTACAAATGGTTTATGAAAAAAATATTTCAACAATATCCAGCAAGTTTATTGGTTCGTAAAATGTTTAAAATTGTATTAATGATTTTATTATTATTTTTTTAGAACTTAAAGAAGAAATGTTCAACAGTAATCAAGTACCGTTTGATAAATTATTACCCTTGAATCTAGATGATGACTTTTTGGGGTTCGATTCAGTTTCAGTAACAACATCGAAATCTGTACCTATCTATACCTAATTTATTATCTTATAGATTTTTAATGATTTGTGAATAAATAAGATTTATCAAAAATTTCACTTATAGGAAATGCAAATAGATCCTCAATATGAATCATATGGAAGTCTCTATCATAAAATACAAAAAGATTCTATTGACTTTCACAGCACTGTTAATTCTTTATTAGATGCAATGAAACAGACAAATACAGCAATTGAATCAGAAATAGATTATCTAAAGTCAGTAAGTGTGTTTAATGTTGACGCTATTTTTTATATGAAACTTAAATCTTGAAGAGTCATAATGTTAATGTATTTGCTATTCTTATACGGCTGTAAGAACTTACAGTTTTTAAAAGTGAACAACAAAAAGAGCATGCACCTGCATTATAATTCAATCTATACATTTATATATATATAAAAATATATACGAGTATATATAGATTTTTAAAAGGACGCCACATCTATATAACATAGCAAATCTGATTACAGTATAGAACCCACATTATGTGTTGTTAGCTATTATTACCTATTATTAAAAGATTTTGCATAGGATTCTTTTTTTAATATTTTAATTTTTAAGTAAGATATTTAAAATTTAAAATTCTCATATTTAGCTTAAGAATTAAAATATCGAAAAAATCTAATTTTAAATTATTGATAATGTCCTAATCTTTAACTTTGATAAGTAAATTTATTCTAATATTTAAAGCTAAAAACACATAATTACAGAATGGGTTTTACTTCTACTTAACGTAAATTTGCTATGTTGCCTCCGTTTTACAAGTGCGTAACATAACAGATTTATGTTCAGCAGATTAGGTTTACCTTCGTTAGCTTAAAAATTAGAGTGAATCAGCCTATATAATGAAACTTGATGGTAAGAAAATTTTCTGTATTTATAGGTATGTGAGTTTTTTACGATAGTTCAATTTTTTGGCAAGTTTGGTGTATGTAAAATAAAGTAAATTAAAAATGCTCATAACTCACTTAAAAATTGAAAAATCGTAAAATCTCACATACAAACACAAAAAATGTTCTTATCATATATCGGTTCACTCAAATTTTTAAACTAACAAAGCTAAACCTGATCTTCTGAGTATGAATTTGCTATGTTACGTACTTGTAAGACGGAGACAACAAATTCCTGAATAGCGTCCTCTTAATAGTGCTGAATGGTAGCATGTACACAAAAAGATCATAAATTCTAATGAGATGAAAATATTTAATGTAACATGAAATACAAAATGGTTACTAATCTTATTGTATAATAATTGTTTGAAACTATTTTATTGACAGGTTATTGTTCATAAAAATATTAATATGTAGATATATGAAGTATTATAACAATTTTTTTAATACCAATATTAATGAAAAAAATTATAGTTATTAAAATTTTCAAAGATATTATCCTATCAACTTATTATATAAGTTGTAAGTTAGTTTGTTGTTATTTTTATTTAAGCTGCTATTTCTTATATAGTTATTAATTTATAAAATATTATGTAATATTAATATTAGAATTGTTTAGTTTAAATTGACTGAGGTGATATAAAGATATAATATAGGTTTTAGAGCAGCGAGGTGTACCTAATCAAAAATGTATGTACTTATATAGGTCGCAGAAAATAAAAATGTAGCATTATAGCTTGTTTCTTAGAATAATTTTTACATTGAAATTAAAAACAAATTCATGACAAGATTCTCCATTAGTTAGGAGCTGTCTTATATTAGTTTATTTTTATGTAATTTCAGTAACACTATCGTTTTATACATTTTAGGTATTCATTGTCCTTGTATTAAAACAAATAGTATTTTTTTTTGTCTATAGTTAATTTCTAGTGATCGTTTTAGCTCTTTTCATGTTATAACTTACATATTCATCATATTTACTATTAATATTTTGAGGAACAATTTTAAATCTTTCAATTAAATAATTGATTGTAGTATATAAATAAATATTACTACTTGGAACGTTTTTACTTTACTTATTAAAAAGCCCAAGAATATGTGTATTTACACATAATATCAGTTTTTAAACGATCAAGAACTTTATTTAATTTATTGCTTGGTGTCGACTTGATTGCAAATGTAATGAAATAAATTTTTAAATACTGGTCATTGTATAATAAAATTTACTTAGTGTGTAAATAATCTAAAGATTTTAAATTTTCTAAGTAAAAAAATAAATAAAGTACCGACCATCATAAGGGTTGATTTTTTTCAGGGCTTAAACAGTGATTAATTTGCTTTTAGGTTTATCTAGTACAGGTTATTTCTACATCTACACATTATTTTTTTTTGCATCGATGTGTATGTTTTTTTTTTCAAATTATCTTTTGATGGTTTCATTTTGTTCTAATACATTTATATTAAGTGTAATCAACAAGATGAATTTATATCGTGATCGACAGCCATCATACTTTAATATTATAGTTGTGGTTCATGATGATGCTGTCAGTTCCAGGTTAAGGAGTCTTGAGATTTATTTAGGAACCTTTAAATTTACACTATACTTTTATAATCATGTAGTTATTACTTATTAACTATTGTTTGAAAAAAAAAAAATAAAAAACAAAAATATAAAATATCTTTAAGCCTTAATATGAATAAAAATATTTATTTAAAAATAAATAGATTTTGAAAATAAAATATTTGAAACTTCTTAATGTCTTCCTTAAAATTTAATATCTTTTATTATTAGTGAAATATATACGATACGATACAAAAATTAGCTTTAACAAAAGCTAGAATGATTTAAATATTACATTATATTTTATATTTAATGTTTTATGAATATAAAAATAAAATTATAAATATTTTTTTAATTTCATATTGGGCCTCAAAAATAATAATTCTGGTCTGATTCTATGAATAATTAATATAATATCTAACGTTATATTTACGATTTATAATCACATATAATTATTTCGTAACTAAATGATTAATTTAAAATTATAAGTATTATAACTATAAAAAATTGAATTTAAAATTTCAATTTCTCTTTTTTTTTATTTATTACAATTACAAAGAATATAAGGGTTTCAAATCTAATTTTGTGTCAATTAAATATATTATGTATATTAGATCTAAAAAGTATAAGCTAGTTTATACTTTATATTAGGTCCTATGATATAATATTAAAATGTATATATTAAAAATTAACAAAATGGTATTATTATTAACGTTATATATATTTTTTTTTCATCGTAAAAAAGGTTACCAGTCAAACAGTTGAAACAGTCAAAGTAATAAAAAAACTATTAAATAGAATTTTGCGAAATGACCAAGAAGCCATACAAGAAGTAATATAATCAATAAAAATTTGTCGTCGGTATGTACTTCGTTCAGTTACGTATTGCTATTAAATAAATAGTATTTTTGTCTATAGTTAATTT